ATAATTCAAGTCAGGAGGATACCATTAAGCTGAAAAACATGTTTCAGAAGAAAACACAGAAAGTGATCAGTGAGGAGATTGTGGAAGACAGACAAGTAACAGACAAGGGGAAAGGCAGTCTACCTCCGTTACCTAGTGTCGTCAGCAGTGAGGAGATTCAGAAACGGAAACAAGTAGCAGACAACAAGAAAGGCGGTCTACCTCGACTATCTAGTCTCTTTAAGAGATAATATTTTCCGTAACTAACAAAATGACATGTGTGTTTTTGTACCTCCCCCCTCTATCCTCTTTCTCATATGCGCACAATTGGCACGAATAATTCTTCCATTTTTGTCTGCAGGTATATCATAAAATCCTAGGAGCTGGGGGAAATACCCTCAAAACTACCTCGAGGTTTTGCTCATTGTATCATTATGACGTCTGCCCTCTTTTTCTCTTCATTCTTCGGTTTAACAATTTTGATTAGCCGTAGTTAATACTGATCTTTGATTAAGGAGCATAATTGTATCACAAATTTTGTATCTATTTCATAATTTTTTCTTAACTTTTGAATAAGTGTGAGTGGCGCGCTGAGTAGAGTATGTTTTCTTATTAAAGTGGTGTTTTAGACTCTCTTTCTCCTTGATTTGTTTGGTTATAGCCCACAGCAGAGCAATGGAGTGGGCCTGAATTCGCGAAACGTACTTTTCTCTTTTCTTTTTCTTTTTTATGCTCAGACGAAATGTACTTTCTCTGTTCTTGTTTAATTTTAGTTTTGTTTTTCATGTCAACTTTATTTTTTATTTTTTCAAATGACAGGGAGATTATATTAATAAATTACATCACGAGGAAAATTCAAAATCCAATTTTTATCCTATCATTTGTAATATTTTGTGTATCTAACAGAAACATATTTACTCTTTCTTTTTTCCTTTTATATTGTTTGTCCAACTTTTGAGTGGCTTGAATATGTTTCGGGAACGGGTATGCCAAAGGAGATGTCGCATCTTGTCCAGGAAAAGTAATTTTACTATCTTTGATTTGGATATGATATTGTCTATCTATCAATGGTTTTGATTCATATTATGCACAATAAAACTACATACTATTTTCGTAATGGACCACTCTTTGTTTAATAAATTTACATACTACTTATTTTTTTATAAAGAAAATGAGAGATTTCAAATTTCCCTTTTTTTTTTTCGTCGAATAAAATTAAAATCTCCCGTTTAATTAATCAGTCAAATTTGTATATTTTTCAAACACCAATCAAGTTTATAAATTATACACGACTTTGGTTAATCTAATAAAATTTCTAAAATCTAGTTAATCAATTTCTACTACATTGTTGAATCTAAATTTTAAAAAAAATCCATCCAAATAGGAATTTTCAATTCTAGTCTACTTATGTCATCTTGTTAACTAATTTCCCTATTTTACTTATTAGATACTTATGGAAAGTATTTATTGTGCCACAAAAAGCTGCTATGATAGGTCCTTCACACCTAACTCAATAAGTCATTGCATTTCATTGCAATAAATTTAGTGTTTTGCATGCGACACTCACCACTCCATTTCATTGAACATGGTTTTGCTTTTATTCAAAAAAGGAAAATAATAACTTGGTTGGGCAACTCACCATTATGTTAATATATCAAATAAATGAAACAACAAATTCGTTAATGCTTTTATAAATTCTTCTCGGTGTTCCAATGGTCCTTCCCGCTCTACCAAATCTTATCAACGGTTCTTCAAATTCTTCCCGCTCATTAGCGCGAGAATGTTCTTATAACTTAAATAACAGTCTTCATGATATATAACTCTGCATCACATGAAGCAATCCTATTAGCAGAAGTAGTATTACGTTTAACCATTTCAATTTACGGTTAAATATAAGAAAATCCCTTTTATACACAATTTGAAAAGGAGATTATGAGAGTCGGATTCTTAATTTACATATTAGGTTCAAAATCTTTCGACAAATAAGAAGGTACACAAATTGGTCAGATGCTAAATCATTCAGACCTTACTAATCTACTAAATATAACCATCCTAATTAGGTAAATAAGATTATTTACTTTTAAAATTTTCATAAACAAAGAAGAAAAAAAGAAGGCGCCGGTGGGCTGGAGCGCATATGATTGTTCTGTGGCTGGAGGTAGCGTAACCAAAAAGCATTGTCTTCTACCGACCAACCCCCAATCATTGGATATCATAAAATAAGAAAGGTAAAAAACTCTCTCTCTCTCTCTCTCCCTCCCTCACTCTGAGACATAAAATTTGGTTTAATTTGAAATCCCATAAGACCGCACCACATGCCAACTAGGTGACCGTTGTTAGGACGGAGGCACACATAGAAAGTCATCTCAATCCGTATGATCCAACGGCCAGATTTCACTAGCCGTTGTATTTGAAAAAAGTGAAGGGCTTTTAGGTCACTCTCCCTTCAGACAAATACCCACAGTTTCTGTCACTTTTATTTCTACCAGTACCTGTATTTGTGGGCTCTTTCAGTCTTAGATGCTCTCTTGGGGTAAACTATAGAGGGTGACTGAGTTCTTCAAAGCCTCTGCTCACTTGGGTTTGATTTTGATTGATTGTTCCTTTCAGATAACCATCATTAACAGCAAAAATGGTTATTTCTGATGAGAACCGTTCTAATTTGGTCAGACCAACAGCTATGCAAGGTGAATGGGGTTGATTTTGCACAATCTTGGCATTAGATTTGTGAGATTTAAGGGTGGAGATGGATGTAAAAGCCAAAGATTCTGACTTTTTTTGGTTCTTTATTTTTTATTTTTGGATTAAAATGTAGGAGGACTAAATGTGGGTACCGGTAAGCTTGGGCAACAGCAGGTTAGGCACACCAGGAGGGCCTTAGGAGTCATTAATGAAAGTTTAGTGGCAGCTCAAGGATACCCCTGTGTTGTTAACAAGAGAGCCCTCCCAGAGTAATTTTCCTTGTTTGCGCTCACCTTTGAATTCTTCATCTTTAGGACAGCCTTTGTTTTTTTGAATTGATTTTTTTTTTTTCTCTACCCAGAAAACTTGAATTCTATGAAAAGAAGCAGGCGGATCCAGCTCATAGACCAATTACAAGGTTAGAATTTGACCCTTTTGTTTTTCACTTTTCTTTTCCATTTTTGGGTTGTCAAGAGAATGTTGGGGGGAAAAAAGAATGAAATTCAAATTTTGATCTCAGATCTTTCATGCTTCAACTGAGACATTTTCATTTTTGTTTGTTCAAATCTCAAGACAAAATGAGATGAGATGAGACACCAATGTGAAATTGCTAATCTTCATTTTCATCAGAATGTGATTTTGATTTGCATTTTTCTATAGGAAGTTCGCTGCACAAATTGAAAGCACTCAGCAGCATTGTGCGAAGGTAGTACCATTATCCCTCCTATGATTTGATTTATAAATCTATTTATCTGTTTTACCTTATATTGATGGTTGGTGTGATTTATATAAGCAGGAAACAAAGTTGCCCGAGCTACCAAACACATCAGCCATTAACTCAACTGGTTTTGGAGATTGTATATTCATAGACGAGGAATGGGAGTCACCTGAAGACCAGGCTGACCAACCGGAGCCCATGTTTTTAGAACAAGCAGAAACAGTACCGGATGAAGCAGATGATACGGTACTTCTTTCTTTCTGGAAAACTTGTCAAGTTTTGGACTCTGTTTATTTATTGGCAAACCCAATTTACTGATTCAATTAAAAATTAAATCTTTTAGAAGGAGATTGAGATGGAGGATATTGTGGAAGAGCCGATTGTGGACATTGATGGCTGCGATTTGAAGAATCCACTTGCAGTTGTAGAATATGTTGAGGATCTTTACGCTTACTATAGGAGAATGGAGGTAAGTTGCTCTCTTTTTTCCCAATGTGGTTGAAAAGTTAGCAACAATCTGTGGTTGAAAAATTAGCCTTACTGTCAATTCATTTTCAAACATTCATAGAAATCAATTCTACAAATTACACAATAAACATGACTTGAATGTCACCTTAAAAGTATATTTTTTAAACTCACCCAATTCGCGCGAAAGAGCGCTACGCTTATGCTAAGGCTTGTTATGTGCTTATACTAATATGCTAACCTAGCTGCCGCATTTTCAATTGCATATCTGGAATTACAAGTAAATCTGTTTTGGATTTCTTTTTAAGGTCATGAGAGAATAGCAATATCTACATATGGGGGAAGCATTTATGTTTGAGCTAAAACTTTATTTAAAATTGGTTGGCTTGCATTCTTAGTTGACATGAAAAGCTTTTCTGTAAGATGCTTGCACAATTTTGTCACTTACTTCTCAGCTGAAATTGATTTTTTTCCTCTTTCAGCAAAAAACTATTGATCTGCTCTTTGAAGTTGAGTAGGAAAACATCAAATTCAAACCAAGTGTGACATGACAACTAACCAACACTCATATGTGCAGGGTTTTAGCTGTGTCCCACCTAACTATCTGGAACAACAATTTGACATCAATGAGAAGATGAGGGCTATACTAATTGACTGGCTTATTGAGGTATACTATCCTTTCCTACCGACTCAATATGCCTAAAATGGCAAGTGGGTTCTGGTGCATTAATCGGCAATGCATATTGTTTTAATCAACCTCGTTCGTAAATGATTAATCTGCTTATTGGAATCAACAGGTGCACGACAAGTTTGAACTCCTGAAGGAGACGTTGTTTCTTACTGTGAATCTTATAGATAGATTTTTATCCAAGCAAACAGTCGTAAGAAAGAAGCTTCAGTTGGTTGGTCTGGTCGCCATGCTTTTAGCATGCAAATATGAGGAAGTTTCTGTTCCAGTTGTTGGGGATTTAATCCTTATATCGGATAAGGCTTACACAAGGAAGGAAGTCCTGGAAATGGTAATTCGTTTATCTTTATTTGGTTGACTATCCATAATGGTTTTTGATACTTTGAAAATAAAGTTACTTCTCTAAGCAATAGGTCTAACTGAAATTCTCTTTCCTTGCATTTCTTACCTGCAGGAGAACTTGATGCTTAATACATTGCAATTTAACATGTCAGTTCCGACGCCGTATGTTTTCATGAAAAGGTTCCTCAAGGCTGCTCAATCTGACAAGAAGGTAAGCTGTGCTTCATCTAAGACTAATATCAATCAATTAGTTTTGCGCATTAATGGGATTCTAATTAATTTTTTTCAATGACCTCAAAACAGCTTGAACTGCTATCCTTCTTCTTGATAGAGCTTTCTCTGGTGGAGTATGAGATGCTTAAGTTTCCACCATCTTTATTAGCTGCTGCTGCAGTCTATACTGCTCAAGCTACTCTTTATGGGTTCAAGCAGTGGAGTAGAACCTGTGAGTGGCACACAAGCTACTCAGAAGATCAGCTTTTGTGAGTTCTTCCTTCCCTAAATTTGAGCATTACATGAGAAGATTTTTTACTATTAAGTAATTTCTTGACAACTAATATTTACATGAAGAATTTACTAATGAGTGTAGTAATTTCTTGAATTGTGCTAACAGAGAATGCTCAAGTTTGATGGTTGGCTTCCACCAGAAGGCACCAACAGGGAGACTCACAGGGGTACATAGGAAGTATTGTACATCCAAGTTTGGCTTCACCGCAAATTCGGAACCAGCACAGTTTCTCATACAGACTCAACTATGACAGAGCATATACTACTAACATTACATATGACTTTGTAATTGGGTTTCATTGGGTGGGGAAGAAGAAGAAGCAGAAGAAGAAAGAAGAAGAATTGCACATATGACTTTGTAATTGGGTTTCATTCAGCAGCAACTGTGGTTGCACCTGGGGAAATTGGGTTTTCTAGATTTCTAAGCTTTGCAGCCTCAAGTGTTAGCTGGATTGACAGCCATGGTTGTATGTTCTAATTGAACATACTCATTTTCATTTAAAATTTTTTACTTTGAACTTTACTTCCATTGTTGTTCCTTCTTGGAGAATAAATAATGTGATGATACAAATGAAATGACTTCATTTTCTCAATTTTTCTATTTATTATAGAGCAAAATACCAATTTTTCTTTGTTATCATTGGGAAAGAAGTTCTTGTGCGGCAAGTTGTTTGTGTCTTCCACAGCTGAACTTCCTCTGACTTAAATGTAGGCCCCCCACCAGAAGAAGACACCAAAAGCGCACACAGATAAATACTTGGCAACGACGTCGTTTCCTCAAAACAACAATATATTTGCTAATTTCAAGTTTTTAACCTTTCCACCAACCCCCACATATCAAAATTCGAAACTATCAAATATAATACATGTTAATTAATATATGGCCTTTGCTTGGCAGTATATCATAACCTATTTCGAATATCCAATTTTACCATCCCACTAAATATTAAATTATAAATACCCTAACATGATTCAGATCTTTGCCACCAAACCCCTCTGCCCTCTTCTCACTCTCTCTCTTTCTTCTTTCTCTTTCGCTTGCTCTGAAGCAACAGCTCCACCATGGCAATGGCAACCTCACCTCACTCTCTCCTCCTCCAAAACCCAAATACCCAATTCCTCAAAAACCCCAAAATACCTTTCACCACCATCCCCATGACCTCCACTCGTCTCACCACCACCACCACCACCCAAAACCCCAACAAGGCCATCTCCGTCAAATGCTCAGCCACCACGACCCACATCCAGGATCGCCCACCGGCCCAGCCCCAGTCCCAAGATCGGGTCTTCAACTTCGCCGCCGGACCCGCCAATCCACCCGAGAACGGCTCTACAACTGGCGCGGATCTGGGATGAGCGTCATGGAAATGAGCCACAGAGGCAAAGAGTTCCTCTCTATAATCCAGAAGGCGGAGGCGGACCTCCGAACCCTTTTGAATATCCCACCGGAATATTCCGTGTTGTTCCTCCAAGGCGGCGCCACCACCCAGTTCGCCGCCATACCTCTAAATCTCTGCAAACCCGACGATAAAGTTGATTACGTGGTTACTGGGTCGTGGGGCGACAAGGCCTTCAAGGAGGCCCAGAAGTATTCTCAGCCCAAGGTGATCTGGTCCGGCAAGTCCGAGAAGTACACAAAGATCCCAGCTTTTGAAGAATTGGAGCAGAGCCCAGACGCCAAGTATTTGCATATATGCGCCAATGAAACCATCCATGGGGTCGAGTTCAAGACCTACCCAACTCCCAAAAATGGCCTCTTGATTGCGGATATGTCCTCAAATTTCTGCTCCAAGCCGGTGGATGTGTCCAAGTTTGGGATCATCTATGCTGGGGCTCAGAAAAACGTGGGCCCATCCGGAGTGACCGTTGTGATCATCAGGAAGGATCTGATTGGCAATGCTCAAGAGATCACACCTGTGATGCTGGACTTCAAGATTCATGATGAGAACAAGTCTCTGTACAACACACCACCATGCTATGGTATTTACATGTGTGGGTTGGTGTTTGAGGACTTGCTGGAGCAGGGTGGTTTGGGTGAGATTGAGAAGAAGAACAAGAGGAAGGCTGATCTTTTGTACAACGCCATTGATGAGAGCAAAGGGTTTTACAGGTGCCCAGTTGAGAAGTCTGTGAGGTCATTGATGAATGTGCCGGTTACTCTAGAGAGTCCGGAGTTGGAAGCTGAGTTTGTGAAGGAGGCAGCTAAGGGTTCAGCTAAGGAGAAGATGGTTCAGCTCAAGGGGCATAGGTCAGTGGGAGGGATGAGGGCTTCAATTTATAATGCCATGCCTTTAGCTGGGGTTGAGAAGTTGGTTGCTTTCATGAAGGATTTCCAGGCAAAGCATGCTTAAGATTTAGTAGCATATATTACTGGTAGAGTTGTTAGCATCTTTGGTTTGTTGTGTTTGCTATATTTTTGTTGTTGAATGCGAGTGGACAACAGCAAGAAGTTTGTCTGCATTTGTTTATGAAATTCTTGTCGTGTGGGATGAAGTTAATGCCCTAACAAGTTTAGGAATTTAGGCCAATATCCTCTGTTTAAAACTTTGTTGTCATAAGCTGAGAGTAATGAATAATTCAATTCTGGGATCTTCTTTCATATCAAGTTAAACCTCTCTACTTCTTGATGCAATCAAGGGCTTATTTTGATATCCTGTCTGATACTTGTTTAGTCAAAAAAAATTTGCAACATCGTATGTAGGGAGACTGAATGTTTATTGAAAAAAAGGACCCATCATCATCATCATCTGCCTGCAAACCACCAGATGGTGAAATGGAAAATGGATGGTCCCCCAACTCAGAAATTGATTCACAACCATGGAACTCATCACTTCAATGGCAACGCGAACAAGAGTAATAGAGTCAAAGACACAACCAGCTGCCTGCTGAGGCTTTACGTCAAATATCAGTCACCTTTGCCAGTACATCAGTAATTTCAATTTCGGATATGCTCAATTCATACACATTTATAATTTACGACGACTTCCAAAAGGAATTTCCAAACTGAAATCAACCAATTGTTGGCTAAAATGTGCAAAATCTAGGCTTCTTGATACCTGTTGGCTATGCAGCCGATTCTCACTCCAGCTCCTCAATTTCCTCCTGAGTTGAAACAAAAAACATGTATCAGAACTGACCTACAGAATAGTAGTAATCAAGATGAGGGATTACATAGAAAAACAGAGAGAGGAGACAGAAAAAAAATATACAAATTTATAAATAAACCCAATCCTAGACATGTATTTATAAAAAAACCCAAGCACTATTTAAACATAGAAACACACCCAAAATTAATCCCAAAGTCAACTTTTTGGGTGTGTTTATAAATGGGTTTTGAGTATGTGTAATGATGGGTTTTGGGTGTGTTTATATGTTTAAATAGTGCTTAGGTTTTTTTATAATTTCAACCCCCATTTTGGGTGTTTTAGTGAAACTCCCAAAAAAATATCACCTTGGTTATATCAAGAAGCCCATTTCGGCCCAGTGCATCTTAGAAAGCCCAGCCCATTGACGAGCCCTAACCTATTCTATTACCCCATGTATAAAACGACGCTACATCTCTAACCCTAAAATTTCTCACGCTTTCCTCTCTTTGCGCGTCGCACTCTCCTATTCTGCATTCTCCGCTTCTCGACTTGACTTTCTTGCACTCTCTACCCTTTCGCCTTCATCTCATGCTCGATTTCCCTTGTTCAGTTCTTTCTCAGCCAGATAGACATCTCTAGACTAATTCTGTCCAACTCTCAAACAGTTACAGCTTTCCTCTTCTTCTCTGTCACTGTAAGTAGTGAGAGCCTTGAACTTCAAATCCATCCAAGCTTTTGAATTTTCTCTGAAGAAATAGCAACAAGATATGCATATTTACTCTGCATGACAAGCCCTGTGAAAATAAACACTGCCTGCTCTTTCCTTTGAGAATAATCAAACACCGCCGGCTCTCTTTCCTCGTATTTTGAGAAGTATTTATTTAAAGTTTTGTTAACCGGAAGAGATGGTGGTGGTGGATCAAGGCGGATCGACGAAGATCGAACAAAATCAAATGGAATTGGATCGCTACCCAGCGATGAAGCGGATTCTAGAGGAGTATAGTGAGATTGAAACCAA